TTTGTGCTTCCCTATTTCATATTTACCAGGGTGTTGTCTTGAGTTACTGTAGCTGATAATGCGTATATATATATATATATATATATTTCTTTTACTTGTCCTTATATTTAAACTCTTCCCTGCCTTAGCCATGTGTTGGCTGACGTAACAGTGTTGATACTCTGCTCCCCTCGAGTCAAGTAAGGACAGTGCACCCAGGAGGCTACTCTGGAAGGAAGCCTTTTCTGAGGCAGACAAAACTTCAAGAAATTGCGGCTGCTCTGTTTCTCTTTGGTCTCCATCCCCATTCTACTAGGAGTCTTAGAGCCACTACCAACTCGGTCTGGTTTATTTCCCAAGCCCCACGGTCTGAACGTCTTCAGTTTACGACAGCGAACGTTTTGCTTGGGGGGATTTCCACCACCGGACTGGATCATCAGTGGCAAAAGCCAGACACGTGCTCGCCCATGTAGGAGCCAATAGTAACTTTTGCAAACGCTGCCTCCGGAAACCCCACGGTTCGGAGGCTGCTTCTTTAGGAAAGACACAGTTAAAAATAAGTCTCCAAACGAACGAAACAAAAACATATAGACGGGATAGTGAGAAAGGCTCTACTCCACCTTCAGTGGGGAGAGATGTTGAAGTGCTCCGAAGAGTGAGGGAAATCCATGTAAAATTCTTTTACTGTTTCCCCCGAAGAAAGGCTAAGAAGGGGGCGGAGATGGGCTCGGAAGAGTCTCTGGCCCTTTAAGGAGGAGGGACAGACACAAGACTCTGTACCTTTAAGAGTCTCTTTGTCTGGAAACCTCCTTATTTACCCTCCTGTGCTTCAACCAAACTTCGATTCGCGATTCACAAAGCCTCTCCACGCCGCCGCCCCTTACGCCAGGCTCAAATCGGCCGCTCGTTTGTGGTTGACCCTAAACTTTGCGCCCGCGGCGCGAAACCTCGAAGCAGCAGTCTGGTGCCGGGGTCACGGCCCAGCGCTGCGCCGTTGGCGCAATGCAGGGCTGGAGGGGCGGAGCTCCGGCGGGCGGGCCAATGGGCGGGCAGGGGGCGGGGCCGTGTTCGGTTGTCTCGCGCCCTGGTGACAGCTCGCGCGTGCTGATGATGGCGGTAAATAGAAGGGGGCCAGGGGAGGGGGTGGAGAAGGTGGGGAGGCGGTAAAGGGGGTAGCTCCAGGGGGTGGGGGAACGGGGGTCGGAGAGGCAGCGTCGGCCAGGGGAGCCCATTCTAAGACTCGGAGGCGGGGACAGGAGGCTCCGACACACTAGCCCTCCCTTTCAAAGAAGCAAAATCCCCACGCTCCGGGTGAGGGGCGACAAAGGCGGCGCGCGCCTCGCGGGCGGGAGGAG